GGTGGAGCAGAATTTGGTGTCTCGGGGCGTGCGGCCTCTTCAGCCGGTGTCGGCGGGAGCGCAGTAACAGGTGCAGGTCGCTGCGGGGGAGGATTCGACATTCGATGAGATGACCGCGGCCGGTGGTGGCCCAAAAGGCTTCCGCCCCCATTCGTCGTGCTCACCGTGCTCACACTCCGCGCGCTTGACGTAGACGCACGTTTCGAGTACTCACGTAGGTTCGAAATGAAGCTCTGCGGACTTGATGAAGTCGACTGCGCGGACAACGATCGACTGCGGCTGAGATCTGCATCCTCTTCTGCCGCGTATGGGTGACGGTGGATAGACTGTATCGACGATCGCATACTGGCAGGTGATCCTGGCGTTGAGCCATCAGGTGGTGTAAGGCGACGAGGGATTGTGCTCTGGCGAGACCACCGCCGCGGGTTCGATGACATACCTGGCGATGCTTCCACGAACGAGCTATGTTCACCAGAAGCGCGTGAAGAGATCGACGAAATGGACGTGCGTGGCCGACCGTCTGCAGGAGGCGCAAGATAGCCGCCATTCGCATGGCGCGATCCAAAGCCGATCCCAAAGCTGTCTGCAGTGCTTGCGTTCACGTGCGTATACGCGTATGCGCTCTCGGGGCGGGAACATCCACGTTCCGGAGACGGTCCACTCGACGTCCATGCCCGCCGCCGCGGTGGTGGCTGGAGCGCAGGCGAGCCTGATGCGCGCACAGTTCCCGTGTGCAGGGTATTTCGCGCGCGGAACAGCGCAGCCGCGTCGACATTCACCATCCCATCTTCCCCAGTCGAGCCGCCGGTTCCATTCCGCATCGCAATACCATTTCCATACGGGCTCATGTGGCCGTTCATGCCCACTCCGACTGCACCCGCTTCGACAAGTTCAATCTCTTCGTCCTGCAGGATTTTCCTGTCCAGCTGCGCCTGCGCACCGAGCAGTATATCCGACTGGCGCGGCGTACTCGGCGTCGACGAGGCTACCGAGCCAGGCGCCCCTGCCGCCGCACCAGCCGCGGCGAACGAGAGCGCAGGAGAGCGTGAACGCTCACTTGCGACGCTGTTGGGTCGGAACATGTGGAGTAGACTACTGCTGGTGCGACCGAAAGAATCTTCTTGGCTCTGCGTGCGGGAGAGGTCCGGGTCGGCCTCTGACTCCCGTCCGCGCACGGAAACGGTTGACGGTGAACGTGGGCGTGATCCAGTGAAGAGTGTGCGCAGAGCGGAGACAGGGCCTGCCGGAGCGCGGGGAGCGCCGCCAGACAGGGACCGTTGCGATTCACCAGAGCTCATGACAGACGATGGGTCGTACGATGGCGTAGGTACGACGGTTGTGGACGATGACGCGGCATTGAAGGATACAGCGGTGGGCGAGGGAGTAACAAAGGTGCTGGTAGTGGGCAAAAAAAGCATCCCCTGCGCGCGCATCGAGAGCATCACGTCTAGGTCTCCACGCGGCTCCGAGCCACCGGGACTAGGTGCCAGCACACCCAGGCCTGCGCGCACCGACCTGAGTGGTGCAGAAAGCCAGGATAGGACGCACAGAGTTCACGAAATGCATAAGAGTGCGCATATAGTCACGGAAATGAGATGGTAGAAGCATATATGCGCATATATGCAGCAACAGGAACACACATAAGGAAATAATTGATCAGCACGTCAATGAGGCGCAAAGTGATAGAAGGACGCACCGCTGGCTGAGCACTGCATGCTTGATGGCGGCAATCCACATCTGTGCCTCTGCGGCGTCGCTCATAAGCAGCGCCATCACCGCTCCTCCACCTCCGTGTGCGCTCCCATGCCCGTTCCCACCTGGCGCAGGTTGGCCACCAAGTGCCCCGAGCCCGCCGACCTTGACGACGCCGCGGCGGCCTGCGAGCTCTTCGTCCGCGACAAAGACGACCGAGTCGGCGCCCACCGCCCGACGCTCGAGCTCCCGCTCGTCCGGGGTGGCACCCTTGAAGACATGCAAGCATGCGGCAGGAGCGGCGGCACTCGTGCTGGTGGTGGTCGTGAGCACGAGCTGGCGTGACTTCCACTGGCGCGCGCGCGCAAGCTTGAAGAGCGCGGGCGGGGGCGTGTGTTTGAGGACCTGCGCGGAGAGTTGGCCGTACGGGTCGAGGGCGGCGCGTGTGCTGGGAAACGGTGGAAGTATGGTGGGGGGTGGAACGGGCGAGACCGTAGCAGAAACCAGGGGGCGCGGGGAGGCGGCCAGAGATGCAACGAGGGATGTAGAGTCGGAAGAGCGCGCTGCGCGGGCGTGGCTGAGGTCGCACGAGTCATCCTGGGTGTGCTCGACGGAAAGGTCAAGCTGGAGGTCGTGGTCGCGGTCGCACTCGTCCTCGTCCTCGTCAACGGGCCTGCTGCGGCTCTCGAGAAGGACGGGGTCGAGGCCGATGGACTGGGCGGCGGCGTCGCGGAGGCGTTGGCGCTCAGCGTCGTCATCCTCAGTGCGATGCGCGGCGATCTCGATGACCTCGGAGAACATAAACTGTGAGGCGGCTGGCGGTGGTGGCTTTTTCTTTCCACGGGACGACCGGGGACGACCGAAGGACAAGTTGGAGGCGGCGAGCAGGAGACTGCCTCGGGCACGCTTCGGGAGCGATACCGGCGACGACGTGGGCGAGGCGGCGGCGAGAGCGGTGTGCGACTCGGACTCATACGTGACAAAGGACGCAGAGCCGGATGGGTGGGCTGTGAAGGGATCCGATGTTGGAGAGGACGGTGTGAGAGACGACGTGCGTGAGCGGTGGGGAGTGCCATCTATGTGCTTGGGGTTGGTGGCCCTGGGATGGGCGTCGTCTATGGTAGAGAAGAGAAAGGTGCGGGGGAGCAGCGTCGGGGAGGTGGGTCTCGAGGCCATGGCCGCAAGAGGAGGAGATCTGGGAGCGAGCGCGTTGGAACGGGGGCACCGTGGGCGCGCGGACGATGATGGACGTGATGAGAACATACCTTCGAGCAATGATGAAAGATGAGTTCAATGCATCGCCTCGCCAGCCAGGGATAACGTCGCAGGCAAAGACGAGCTCAGCGCAGGGCCAGACGACGGTGGCAACGACGAGCTCGATGGCCTCGATGGCCAGCGCAGAACAAGGCCGGGCGCACGTGATGCCCATCCCCGCTGAAACCGTCCCTTGCGGCTCCCCCACACCGTTTCACTGTTCGTTCCTCGACAACACCGCAACGTCGCAATTCCTTTTCTGCTGATCTCCGACACTGGCCCTAGCGTCGTGAAACACTCCCTCCCAACTCTCTCCGTCGAACCGAATAGGCCTACGCCGCACTGGGCCGCAATATGACCCAATCTTCGTTTCCAGTCCCGGAGAGCGCTTTGTGCGAGATGCGTGAGTCTTCACAATATTTCCGCTGGATTGCTAAGTATATTCCCTCTATACAGTCTGCTGCAGGTGGTACTGCTTTTATCACAGCTCCGTGGATCTGTCCGGGACTTCTAGAAGTGTGGTGTCCTGAGGCTCTTTCGATCCAGCCAGACTCCGATTTGTTCTCATTCCCGTCAGTTCGGGCCCCACTTGCTACAATACAGCTCACAGTGTGGACGCGGATATGAAGCGCCACACCGGCCCACGCGACGAGTGTCGTACACGCTCCGATGTTCTCACTGTGGATTTCCGGCACCATCAGTGGTCATTCCCTTCTCCCCCGTCACAAATTAAAATATTATGGCCCACTTGGGTTGCAGGTTTTGTGCTGACGCGGCCTCCACGCGTATTTCCACCCGTCAGGTACTACGATGAGTAGTGACGACCTGAACTGTTCATCCTAAAGCCGTGTAGACCCTGAGTAACCCGGCCTTGATGTGTTCTACTACGGGGATGTGAGTGGTTATTAATCTCATAAAGACTGTGGAGAACATCGCTGAAGGGACAATAGACTTTGAAAAGAGCGAATTACTGCATGGCTTCAAAATCTGAATTCTGAAGCTCAAGCACAGGCTCAGATATCAGACAGTACCCGGTAGCGCCTGTAGCGACCATCATCCCAAAATGGCATCTGTTTAGGACATCACTCACAACATCTTTGCGGGTCCATAGCCTTCTTGAATATCTTTCCCTTGGACTTATGGGTCTCTGGTGCCTCGCACGGATAGCCAGCCCTCTGATCGATTCCCCTCGGCTTAGACGAGTTTGTTGATCGCTTCCACTTCCTATCATTTCGGTTCTCTTTCGCTGTTTCCCTCAGCTTTGGGCATCACCAAACTTATTCTGACAATAGCTGTCGTCCAATTTTTGCTTCTTCTGGAGTATTCTAGCTTGAAGCCGCTACCATTCACTTACCCTACCGTTAATGCATGCAATATTCTGACTCTGATCTCACCTCAAATAATCATAAAATCGCACCCAGACACCCCTTTAACGAATTTTGTCACAACATGCTCGAGCACGATCACCCACATAGTCGTAGTCATCTCATACCCATCACAGACATCATCCCGATGCTCAGTCGCCGCGCCAACCCCATTCTTCCTATGACTCAACCTCGATGTCCTGATCGGCGGAGTTGGAGACGTGGTCTAACTTGTAGCATGTACCGCGTTCCTGACATGGAGGCAGAGGCGCGGCAAACATTGAAACAAGACATCCAAGGCTCCTGTACCTCATCTCCGTCCTCTTTCCCGCAGAACACATTACGCCTTGACAAAGTTACATCGGTGCAAACAGGCATATATTTTACACTACCAATCGGGAAATCGATCGTGAAAAGCGGTCGTCGTGTGTGATGAAAGACTAGCTTGAGGGAAAATGCCCCCAGGTGCAAAGTATCACAGTGACAGATCCCTGATCCGTAACGCAACGTAGCACAGTTTTTTCTCTACAGACTATGAAGTTAGCGGTCATTGTTACATATCCAAGCCTGGTTTTAATGAACCTCAATGCCGAAAGACTGCATCGTTCTCTTGATTGTGATTCAGTGCTGTGAAATGTCATGTCGGCGGAAACACGCACCTAATTAGACGCCGCGCACGTCTTGCAGGCCTCACGCGTCGGTCGCTGGATCGACAGCAAGGTCGCACTCCTTCTCCCCTTCTCCCGTTCTCCAAACTCGAATGCCGAATCGATGATTGACGCCGTCCAGTCGTGGAACGCAAGCCACGCTACCGCATCCACCAGTCGCCTTCATCGGTATCAAGTAGAATATTTCCTTTACTCTCGAATGCAGGAGTGCCATGCTACACATCACACAGGGCTCGTGCGTCGTGAAGAGGGTTAGGGACGTGAGGAGGTAATGTGTGCCATTGCGCGCTTGTATCGGATCGCTGTTCGTATCGGGGAGCATCGGCGCACCTGAGGGAGGACTGGCATTTGGAAGAAGAGGTGTTTGGGGTTCCGAGACGACGGTCCGTTCAGGAGATGATGCGCGATATTCAGCCACTGCGCGGATGACGTTCAGAATGGCGTGTCGAAGCGGGTGGGATGATGATGCCCGTGTGTCGCTTGCAACGAGCGAGACATTCAGTTGGCTTGCTGTGCGAGCTTCTTCATCATATGAAATTGGAACGTGAGCGGCGATAGGTAGCTGAAGCATTTCATAGATGAGCTAAACACGCGACTCCTGCATTTTGTGCAGATAAGAACATACATCTCCTCGCTGTTGTGCTTGTTGTGCTTCTAATATAACACGCGACATGGCCTCACACGCCCATCTCACCTTTCCTTTCGACCATTCTTCGACCTCGCCCTTCCTCCTTGGTGCATATACAGTCGGCCAGAACGTGCTCTTGGCCTTGAGCGCAGCAGGTGTCAGCGCAACAGACAAAGGAACGGATAAAATATAGGGCGGTGGAAGCATAACGTCTGGTGGCAAAAGAGGGGGATCAGCGGTATTGAGAGTATACGCTAAAAGTAACGACATCGTAGAGTCCTGTCTTCGGATACGTTTAAGGTGTGCCATCGAGGGCGTCTCCAAGCCGCTCTGTTTGAGCCATCTGAGTGTCTATCAAGCTGTTGAAAGTGAGACAGAAGTAAGGAAAGCTACCTGAGCATTGCCGTAGTTTGTTTGGGATCAGGAATATCCACTACCCATGCTTCGCCTGGCCACCTTCCGTGAGCCACCATCAACGAGCATATAAAAAGACTGACTGACCAGTCTGCACTGTTTCAACGGTGTCTTCGTTGTCATCGACGACCACCTTCATGCGCACAAACGGGAGACTCTCCTCCTGCACTAGCTCGTCGAGACAGCCCTCTGTGAATCGCTGGAGCTCATCCTCAAACCCGTTGACATCTCCACCAACGGGACACAAGCCATCCCAGCCATCATTGAGTGCATTCTCAGACAACTCTAGGGGCTCGCCATCGACAGCATCAAACCACAGTTTGTGCCCGTAGAATATGCACAGCTCCTCCTCTTGTTCAATAGGTCGGGTAGTAACGTAGCGTATGGATTCCGTCGTAGAGTCGAGTATATATGATACATTTGGCGTTTGGGAATGATTGAACAGGGAGCCTGCGAGAGCAGCTCCGGTTATATGCTGAGTATAAAATGCGCGATCATCACGTACCAAGACCCAGTGCAAGGGCCATCCGTCCATCTCTCCACTTGAACGTGTAGCTATCAAGAACAGTGTATTGGCCGTGTCTTGCGTATTCTGTCGAGGAAAACAGAAGTACAGGACTGATTTCGATCACAACGTCTGCAGCGATCGGACGTGATGCTTTATGCACAACGGAGAGGCCGGTATTGGAAAGATTGACATGATGGAAGAGGAAGATACGACTCACCAAAAACACCTCGTCCTTTACCCTCAGAGTGTCCGATACGACAGCCAGAGCTGTTCAGGTGGTCCGGAAGTTTTGGTGGCGATCTACACGGAAGAACGCCTTCGTTGTCGTTGTTCTCCATTACTTACACAAAGAGTAAACAAGAGAACTATCGGCGGAATCATTCAAGATCTGTCGACAAGGAGGCAGGCCAACGGACCAAAGAATATTCATGACAGAATGTGCTTGAATACCGGAACAAGCTCAGGCTGCTTTAATGGTTCACGCTTTTCAGATTAGATAGCCTTTCAGTGGTCCCCTCCGATCTAATCTGCAGGCGGAGGACGTCAATTTGAAGCAGAACGGTAGAATTCTTACAAGGCAAGCAAATTACGTTTACAATACGGCGCAGACTATGATTAAGAACAAGAGGATGCTAGTAGCCGGGATAGAGCACGCTATACAGGCCCTCTTCCCAATCAAAGTCTGGTCCATAATGATAATCGTCTTCGTCAAAAAGACCCTCATCGTACGCATAGGGTTCATAAAATTCAGGCTGATACTCCTCTTCTTCTTCTTCCTCCTCTTCCTCTTCGTCATCTTCATTCGTTATACCATCCCAGACTACACGCGGCACTGTTTCCTGCAATTGCTCAACATCACGTTCATCCAGATGCCAGCAATCCACCAGCTGGAGCTCCTGCACTTCTGCACCGTGTTCGCATCGCTCCGTCAGAGTATACACGAGACTTTCCATGAAACTGCCAAGTTCGCCGTCTTGAAACTGCCTGAGATCCCTGAAGCGAACATCGTCGAGAACGATAGTATTCAGCTGGGGCATGAAGTATGGGAACCGTCTAGGGTCTTCTCTGTTTTTTATCTGGATATCTTCATCACGGTGCGCAAGAGCTTTTACAAACACCTCCGACCCGCATTCGTCCGAGACGTGGAGGAAATTGACGCCCTTCAGAGAGCCAAAGGTGTTAACCCATTCGAGTGGTGATTGGAACCACATTCCCGATACATGCATAGCTCGAATATCAGGAAGCGGCAGACCTTTAAGCATTTCGGTGAGCACCGGCTTCGGGGAGTACATATCGGAAATGCTGATATTGACTTTTGGGATTGGATGGGAAGGGAAAGGGGGCGGCAACGGTATCTCAACGTCAAAAAGCTCCAAGTGAGTACATCCGGGTTGGTACCTATGAACGCGAAGCATGCGCAGCTCTCCCATAGCCGGTGTTTTCGAAGCGAGACAATTTGCGAGGTCTCGTCCTCCCTTGCCTGCGGGGCAGGTAAGCGTGAGCGATGATAGCGAGGGCAGACTGAGATGATTGAGAAAGTTGGCGGAGTCTAGTACACTTGCAGAAATAGTAATAGAAAGGAGGTGCGGAAGCCTAATAGACATCGTAGGCAGCTGGAGCCCATCGAGTTCGGGTAACGGATCTATCACGTAGTCAAGGGTCAGGGACTCGAGTAGGGGAAGACGTTCCAAGCAACCGACTACGACAGAAAGACTCGGACGCTGCATTTCCATTGAATGTGTGATCTTAAGATGCCTGATCGATGGAGCATTTATGTCGTGCAATTGAAACAAATACTTGCTAATCTCGAGGCGCTGTAAGCGAGGAGCTTGACCTTCGCGCAGAAGGACAGGAGGGAGGGATGTCGAGGGAGCGGACAGCATACCGATACCGTAAATTCTCGAGAGTGACAAACTCTGAAGGAGGGGCGCCGGTCCATCCATTTCCTTCACAAACATGTCTAATGTGGCTTGGTCAGCAGTCACACAAACGCTTCGAAAGCGGTGCTTCTCCTTCAAGATCGAGGCAAGTACCCGGTGCTTCATGAGAAATCGGCCATTGTTGAGATTTACTGTAATGGCTAAGGGTGCCTGCCTTGACCGCCGCAAGACTTCATCCATCCATTCCTGGCGCCAACTAACGACCAAACTGCTCCATAAAGCAGGACAGCTTAGCGCAACTTCCCTCCAGTACTTGCAGACATGGGTGGGTGTGATCCAGTGGCGGGAGGCGGGACAATTGGGCGTACTGAACGACCGGTCCGAGGCATGGTGAATGAAAACTTTAGCAAGGATTTCCGGAGGTAAAACAGCGACAGGGGAAAGAGTGTTGAGCTCGGATTTGAGCTCCAGGATAGACTTGCCTAGCTTGATGATCTCGTCTTCAATGCGTACTCGTTTTGCCGCCACCAGGCTCCTCGCGAGCTCTGTCTGCTCGCTGTAGGTCGTGAGATTTGTAGGACCTGAATAATTTGACACATACGTCTGATGAGTGCTCATGATTTTTTAATTATTAGAGGCACCTCGACGGACATGAACAGAAAGTGGGGGAGAGGCCTGAAGGAGTACTAGTGTGCATAGGGTTTTATGTAAGCCCGGAGTCTTTCCGAAATTCTGACGACGTCACTGCTCAACTCAACCGGTTCAACGTTCGGTGACTGAACAACCCTTGCACTGTGATCAATGAACCTATCGCACTCTCCATGTGTTCGCTGTAGTGGCACAGAAAGCTCTCCTCGCGCATATTTAATGCAATGTTGTCTTTGTCATCGCTCTTGGCATCATAGTGAGCTTTGCGTTCACACCTATAAGGATGACTTGTCTAGATTGATATCTAACTTGCAAGATTGCCATATTCCTCTCATACCAGAAGACCTCCTTCTGTCTCGCATCCTTGCCGACATTGATGGCCGGAGTGCTGACGGTCTTGGAACCTGGAAGTGCAAGAAATGCTCCAAGAGAAGTGCACCTCCAAAGGTTGCTGGTGTTGATGTGACACCCAAAGCATTGCACCCTCCGGATCTCAAGCCTTCTAGCTCTGCAGATCCACACCATTCGAATGAGCCACCAGCTGGGGACCAGTCTCAGTGCCCAGGTGCAAGCAGATCTAGTCTGCCTGAATCTTATTTGGTCTTTGACTGGGAAAAGCAGCGGCTTGCGAGGAAAGCTGCAAGGGGTCAGCAAGATGAAATCGACAAGATGCTCCACGATAGTAGGCAACGCCGTGAACTCAGTCATCAGGTGGAGACTCGGTGGCCCAGGAAGGCACAGGCACATTGCTTGAGCAGATATCAAAGGCAGAAGAAAGAGAAGCAGAGTGTAGTTGTGATGCGCACAGACTGTCCCCCAAGGCAGGCTGATCTTGAGTTTATGTGATCTACTTATCCTTGCTCTAACATCTTCAATGAATGCTCATAAATAATTCTAGTGCAATTTCATCCATTCATCTGGGGAGGCCCTAAAGGGATCCACTTTAAAACTAGTGATTGCTTGTTGTAACAATATATTGCTATTAGGCTTTATGTAGCAGTTCTGACATATATACAGTATATTCCATCATCTGTTAAGTCTCATGCATCGTATATATAATACTGCTGTGGATCATCATACCCATCCTCCTCGAGGAATACTTACGGCTCATGTTTGCAGCAATATATAAGACGAGTGGATTCTAATGAATGCAGACTGCGATTGCGCAATGAATGATATCTGGAGCACCTGGCCCTAGGCTCAGGGGCGTATGTACATATCAGTATATAAGATATTCGCAAACAATCATCTTTGTCCTACTTTCACGATAAAGTAGTGGGGCATTAGTTGAATGATGGGATTAGTACCAGACTAGATATATCTGCGCGTATGATACATTGAGGGAAAGTAAAGGAATGAATCTGGTGTCCTCAATAATCACGAAAAGTCCATCCGAGTCATCCGAGTCATCGTTACGCCACACAGTCCATATGTCAAAAAAGTAGGATAAATAAATTCAGTCATAGATGGGCAGCGGCATCATCCTGTGGTATGCACGTCAATGGACAGCCGAATCTGGTGCAAAGGAACGCACCTATCGGCATTGAACAAGAAATTATTGGTAGCGTCCTCCCCTTCCAAGAAACGGGTGGGATATACCACTGTAATAACCCATGAGCCCAAATCATATATCTCTGGATGGTCTTTACCTAGATGGCCCCGAAGTTCTCCCAACAATTTCTCCATCTCTTCCTTATCAGATTCGTCGAATGGCTCTACGCCATTGGGTGCGCGCCGGCCGCGGAAATCTTTCTCTGTAGCAGTCGCAGGGGGCGAAGAAGAATTAACCAGAACTGAACGTGAGTCTGCGGCTTCTCCGCCGTGTCCGTTATCCATCACAGTGTGATAAATGTAATCTGGAGCATGCACAGAGTCTTCCATCGTGTGTGGATGTCCAGGGGCGTCCTGATCGGCTGCTTCAGATGGCATACGTGCCAGTGGCTCGCGAGACTCAGCTTCCCAAACCTAAAACAAGTCAGACGTAAGTTATTTGGCAATGTATCGGCGGCTTACCGGTTGGTTAAGTCGTTCATGGTGAACCACAAACTCCTTGTACTGCTTCCAAGTCGTGACGAGATCATCTGGAATTGCATGAAACACTCTCCTATAGATCTCAGTCTGCATCAATGAGGATCAGATGGATATAGACGAAGGAAGGGAAACAGGCACGCACGTTGTGAACTGCACACGAGAGCCAGACGTTCTTCCAGAACCCATCACATACAGGGTCTTCAAACCCTTGCGGATCAACGCGGGGGGTGGGCGTGGGCAGAGTCCATGGCTTTGACTTCAACTTTGAACCGGCGTGTTTACGCAACAAATCACGAGCTTCAGGAGCCGTTGCTTCCTCCTCATCTGCATCATTTTTGCCTTTATCTGAGCAAGGGGGCGCAGAATCTTCATTGGCACTTGGAACTGCGTTTGCAGGAGCGCCCAACAGTTCACCATTCTGCATTTTCATGTTGGGCGGCAGCCCATTGGGAGCAGCTCCATCTTCATGGAGCTCTTGAATGATGGGGCTACCAAAAGCCTGCTCTGGCGGTGGTCGATGTTCGGCCACGACCTTCTCTTCCAAAGTAGGGACTATAGAACTCGGGAAACCAGGTTCTTTCGTGCCGTCCCGAGCATACATATGACGCTCTTCCTTGAGACTCTTCTCCCCAGCAGTCATGTCGAGACCTTTGCTTTTGATGCCCACTTTGCGTAAGGCCACCCCTACGTCCTTGAAGCCCGCATCGCTAGTACCGTGAAGGGCTGAGAGAAAGACTTGAGAAAGCCCGCTGATCTAGTACTGTGGTTCGCCTACCTTGCTCTATTTCGTCGACGGTGTCATGTAGAATATTGCCCATGGCAGTACGACGTTGGCGCTTTCCAATTTGAGTAACACCAGCTTCCTTGCCATGTTCTTGCTCCAACTCAGGGTCCCATTCGGTTTGCATGTCCGCAGATTTCGCAGGCTCAGAAGCCATCAAATCGTCTTCGTACATCTTATCCACATCAACACCAATGTGCTCTCGCATCAGTCGAACGCGCAAAGTATGCGCAAAACGGCCAACTTTAAATGGCTTGCCGGCCATGGTACTGAATAACTGTCAGTCAAATATTCATGCGTCGCATATGTACTCACCAATCAATCATATCGGTATCTCGGATAACGGCTGCAATTTCGGAGTCGCGATCACCACGCTGAGAGCGCTCGTTGATATTGGCACTACCAATGATAGCGAGACGGTCGTCGACGATGCAAACCTAAAGAGTGTCAACCTCAATCAAAGAATGGAAGTTCATGCTGCTGCACACCTTTCCATGAATGTAGACCTTCAATGTGGTTTAGCGAAAGTAGAGTGGAAACTACGATGCTACACACCTGTTCAGTAGTCAACACATTCCCTCTTAGCTTGGCCCAATTCCGTAGAGAAAAAAACGTAATGTATTCGTCGGGCTGTCTCTAAATCAGCAATATGGCGTGGAGGATCGCGTACAAAACATACATCAATCCCCTCCTTCCGCAGCCGAGCAAAGATAGAGTTGGGTCCACGACAAATTGTGCGGTTCTGGCATTCAACGATGATACGGATCTGTAAACGGTTGAATCACCTTTCAAAAAACTGAGACACTGTCGCCCTTACCGCACTCGCATCGCTATGATCAATGGGGAATGCGAATCCCGGTATCAAAGGAATTACGATACAACATTTCCAAGGTGTCTCCTCACGGTGGGCACGAATAATGCGATGAACGAGGGCATCACCAATCTTGTTCTCAATTTTCACCTCATTGACCACAGTACTAAATGTAAAATGAGAACATGACTCAACTAATGTGCAAGCCACTCACGATGTGATGAAGAATTGATTCTCGATATAGACGAAGTGTTCGGACATTTGGATGGCTGTTACAAAATCATTGACCAGCCTTAACAGATACAAAACGTGTACCTGCCTTTCAAATAGGCATTTTGTATGGAAAATTCAATCCGGTCCGGAGTACCCATTGACCAGGGGCCTGCAGATCTACAAATCTGTAATTCGCACGTACCCGTCAGTCCCATCTGGGAAAGCTCTCCAGGTTTGAATTCTGGGGGAGGTAGCAAGAATGGCATGACACGTGAATGATTCTACGTAATGGAGATGAAAACCTAAACAAAACTCGGTTATTGTAGACACACCTTAATTCTTAGCAGATAATTCCACCTGAGATTCGAACTCATCAGGCTTGTTCCTAACATGAGAAGTAACAGAGTTAGACATGCCTTTGGACAAAATGCCTAGCTAAATCCCGCGCTGGCTGCCCAACTACTTGCATTCCAACGTCATGCCTAATACAATCTCAGCCGAAATCAATATGGACCTCATGTGTCACGAACCAAGGCATCCTAGGAATCTTAGTTCGGTCATACATGTCCTCATCTGGTTTGTTGAGCGTATGGAAATCCTGTATCCGAGGATTGCTGTAATCCTTGCCTGTGGCGACATTATCAACAGCTTGGCGGTCTCCGCAGACTGTGACAGCTTACCAGGCCAAATTTGGTCTTCAAAACCCGAGTCAGGATCATCGACAAGAACATGTTGTGGCGTATCCCATCTGTATTACTCGTTAATTATTCCAGGATCGTCCCAGACCTAACGCATACATACCTCCCAAAGCAAAGATCTACACCTCCCATAAAAGCTATTGCCTGATCGATGACACATATCTTCTCATGCTGCCCGATTTTTGAGTTTAAACGAGGGTCAGATCCAAAACAAAGACTACGTACATGGGCCCAATAAAATGTTCCGGTCTGGAAATGCGATGGGGAGCGTTGCACCATTATATTGGGATGAAGAGCGGTCAAGCGTTGCTTGGTATAGCTAATGCGTGACGACGTCAATAAGCTGCCCATGTGCGTAACAAATAACATACTTGCTATCAGTAGGCGTGGTTCTGTTAGAAACCTCTTGACTAACTGTTCATGAGCGCCAACTAATTTGCCATGAATTTGGGCTTACTAGACAATCACATAAATCTTGACTCCTTCCTTCGCTTTGCGCTCCAGTAGGCTATCCAATCGATATTTCAACATATGTGGTCGTCGCATTTGAAGATCTACGAACTAAGTCAGACTCGGTTCGAACTCATCTAAATCCATGCCTACCTGGAGACAACCACCAATCATGTATATATATACACTCTGTTGCCAGCAGAATCGCTCGAGAAAGATTCCAAAAGTAGTCCCGCTACAAATCGCTTGTTTTCAGCTAGTACTACGTGCCAAAAGAAAAGAAACGCACACCATCAACGAGCCATTGTGCGGCAACATTCAGGCGGATTGGAGCAAAACTATCGAACCTGTTTTTGCCGGTATAGTGACATTCACGGGCCACTCGCTCAAGTGCCGCAATCCACTGTAGCATCTGACGCTGAATTTACCAATATTCTTAGAGATATATCATTGCACAGGACGAGTCGGGTATACCTCGTTTCTAGCAAAGAGCTTGAGCCGCATTTGAGAGTTCTCTACATAGAATGTGTGCTTGGAGACTTCATTTGATCGCCTCTTGTTTTTTTCACTTCCTGGGGCATCATCACGGCCACGGTCTTCATGATCATCAGGCCCTAGTAACGGATTTGTGTTCGTCGATGGATCCAACATGGGCGTCAGTGGCCTCGAAGATGGGGGTGACGACGGTGCATGCGAGAATCCTGAGCTGGCGCGGTGCATCGATGAGCTGGCTGCATGACCGGTGGTCGACTGACTTCGTTGCCGACTGTGACGGTGGTGTTTCCCAAAACTAAATACCTTCGAAACATGGCCTCTTACCGAGCCGAGAGTGGAGGAGACGCGCCGAGGATGACGCTCGGGTTCAATTACTAGATGTTTATGCTTCTCTTTTCCGCCGCCGTTCTGGACTTCGGTGGGATGATCGTCCTCAAATTGAGTGAAGATATTCAGGCCCTGCCGATAATATCGGGTAGGCCGTTCGATTTTGAAATCCGAGTCGATAAGAAAGACATCCCAGACCGAAAGCTAATAGGAAGGAAAGCACGTGTCAGTAGGATTTTAAGGGGGAGCACCTAGAAGCTTCAATACCTCTCCCATTTCTGTGTGCACGACGAGATAACTCTCACGTACAGAGCACCACTTTTGTGATTTCCGCTCCGTCCAAGTGGTCGATTTCCGGCCAATTGTTCCCTTACCACCAACGGCATCGATCCTCAGCAGTCCTGCCTTATACTGGGCACCACCAGATTGTGCAAGAGCTATCATGAGGGCGCTGATCTCAAGAAAGCCTGCGAGACGGTTGGCCGCCGGGTGCCACATCTAGCACAGATTAGCGCGTATCTACAGCATTGCGCCACCAAATCTCACCACAGCACGTATCAGGCCGATGAGATAGTTCTCAAGGGCTTCACGCTGAAGGCGGGCGAAGTCGGCGCGACCGACGTCCTTACCTCGTTCCTTCAAGAACTTGAAGTAAGGGAGACCTAGTAGACATGGGATTAACGATATGTAGTCATAAGAGGAGCGACGTACTGGTGCGCGGGAACTCTGGTAAGGTGTCCAATTGGCGTTGAAAGGCATTAGAAAACGTATAATGCGTATGTAACGACAGAAATTCGCGCAGCTGGCGATATACTACCCATCGTACCGCCCCATTAGCATATTCACATTCGATTCGAAACACTGCTTTGTGGCCATGCAACGGGTGTAAACTGTCGCTCACGCGAATGCGTAACCGGTGAAGCAACGCAGGAACACGTCGGTGACCCTTCTCGTCACGCTCAAACCACAGTCGCAAAACAAGCGCAGATAGTCCGCCGGCCATGAGTTCGTCAGTAATGTTCACAGACTGCGGGGCGACCGCAGACGACGACGGGTGTGGGTTCTTGCTCTGGTTCACTATCTGAGGTATCAAAGATCGAATACGGTTCCACCTCGGTGCGGCATTTAGTTTGGTCTCGCCCTCATCCTGGCTCTGTGACATTGAGAGCGAATGCCGGGCTTGTATGCGTGTCCTCGCTTTCGGGCTCTCCGGACTCGCCTGAGGGGTCTGCGATCCTGCTGGACTCTGCATACCACCATAGTCATATGCATGTACATCGAGTTGCATTTGGGGAATTTCCACGCGTGGTGTATCCATTCGTCGACGCATGGGCTGCCACTGCTCTTGTGCAATGCTGTTCCGTCTCTTCGCCATCCGCTCCGCCTTCAGCCGCTCGCGCTCCCTTTGCTGAGGGTTCTCATATTCCAACGCCCCACGGAATTCGGTCCTAGGCGGGAAGTCAGAACTCTTGTCCGGCCCCCCGCCTTCTAAATCTTCTACGCGAGCGTGTGGCTCGGATAGCCGCTTTGAATGCCCCCTCGACTCGACACGCACGCTTGAGGCGGACATTGAATAGCTCCTTGAGATAGACCTGGGGGGACCCGTCCGCCCAGAAGGTGTATCTGGCGGTGGTTGGCGGTACGCAGACACTGGCGACCCCCATGTAAGGGCAGGTGGGTGACCAGTGCGAGAAGTTAATGGAGAAGGAGGTTCGTCCTCGTTCTCGTCCTGTGCAAATGACTCGGGCTCCTCATAAACAAAATCGCGATTCGTCTGTTTGCCTGTCTGATTTGTGTGGGGTATGGGAGGCGTTTGGGGGTGCTCTGGTTGCTCGGCATCATCTTGAGCAACCTGATGTTCTACCGCTTCGCGAACAACATCGAAGAAAGAGTATGCAGGGCGAGCGACGCTGGCCATTATAGGAGACAGAGGGTAAAAATGGTCATGGAAAGCGACTTGAGCAAGTGTTACCCGTCCGAGTCAATGGACGCCAGCAATTATTTCAATTCGGGTGGAGAGCCTGGATCGAGCAGTCGGGCATCCGTTTCAGGTAGGCCGCCGGCTCATTATGATTTCGGCTCCGCCAAACTTATCTGATAGGCAAATATGATCGCTCAATTTGATTCATTTAAACAATACTCTACGTAGAGCTAAGATACAGGCCCACAACAAATAGCATTACCCACATATGTCCTTACAGTCTAGCGTGCAACCGGAGACGAACTCCCACACTGCAAGAACTGTTTCATTTGCTGCCGGTGAATATATAACACACCCTGGTCTCGTACCCAAACGTGTCAAAGACCACACCCTTTCACTTCACCCGAGAACCTGCCTCTTTTCTGATCACCCCAGATAGGGGAACAGCTGTTGCATCGCCATGTCTGAACGTACGAAGTGCTGTTCGAATGATGCGTAGCCGACTGGGACAATATGGATCTGGACAAGCAACCTCTGCATCGGTTGATATCCAATCGTTTGGTGCGGTAACGCGCTGCTTCGCAGCCAGAAGCGGGAGAACGGATCCTAAGCATGACTCGATAAATATCATGCACTAAATCTTATGACATGCTAATGAGAAGATCTTACAACGAACCTAGTGAGTAGATCGATATACCCTGGCCAGGTGGTAGTTTGAGCATTTCGCCCTCGAGGGTGAAGTAGTCTTCATCCTTCGCCCCACACATTATCCTTTCTCCAGGCGGACAAATTACCTCCACTCGAAGGTCATAGAGTTGGAACGAGTCGTCGTTTGGTTCAAGGTTGATACTCATGTTTATCTTTCGAAGCTAGCCTCAGGCGGTTAAATAGTACAATATCGCTAGATTTAGTTTCAGCGCTCTTCTAAACCTCTAGACCCGCATTTCTCTCGGTAGTAAATCTGATTGCCGTCACTAGACTGGGTTCAGCCACGAGTCCAATCATATCGATGTTCTCCGGAGTTTCTTGAAGTACTCAGCCAAGAACTTCTTGGAAATAAAGCTTAAGCTTGATGAGAGTGGATCAATATTATTTCATTTTATTGGCCGACCACTGTCATTCCGAGCATGTCGGAAAATGCATTTAAGATCGACCACGAGAAAACAGCACTGCGGAGAATGCCCGGAAGTCAGCCACCGAACATGAAGAAACTGGTCTCATACCCAGACGTTTCTTTGCGTCCGGATATGAGATCAAGAAAATATCAGTTGCTGGAGATAATATTTCTTAAACGTTTTCGGAGCTTAAACATGTTATTTAGACATTGCAGCAACTGACCTGTGTTTAGCAGTCAAACATTCCCAATGTTCGAACTCTGAACACAATGAAAACTCGCCATCTCCTGCGAATTGTGTTCGACGCATGTCCACTACTCGAACTTGAGATATTGCCCGCAGTGTGCGACAGGTGCACCAAATTAGCTGTTAAAGAAAATCCAGAGTCTTATTCACTTGCTGAGATAGATCATTCCTGATTATAGTTTATCCTGGAAGAGGCAGCTGGCAAAACTAGTTTGAGGATAGCGGAATAAGCTTCTTGACCTCACTTGTGGTCAGGACAGCTCGTCGTACGGTCTGCACTTCTTATGACGGATAACATTGCCAAACTAGTATCCAAGGAGAGAGCAAGAACATAGAGATCCATATGATTCAAATCGTCGTGAAACCCTGGTGTACCCATTCAATCAGCAAACATATACACCAAAATCAGACAACTCACTTCTTCCTGCCAGTTAACCTGATACCCGCTTCTTGTACGTCCCAAATGGGCCAACTGTCCCCGCCGGCCCACCGAGCTGCCGTCGCACCGTACCGGAAGAGGAAGTCGACAACGCTGGTGATGTTCTCCCTGATTGGACACGCTCTCCGCTAGGAGGTTCAGGACGGGGGACTGCCGGAGCAGGGAGAGCAGCAGAGGCATCTGCATTGAGGACTCCTTTTAACAACCTCCGAAGCTCTTCGTTCTCCTGTTCTAACCGCGCAAGCTCGCTCTCGCGTTCGAGAGCCCACTCTGCTGCCGCAAGTCGTCGTTGAAAACGGTCTGGCTCCTCTTCTCCATCAAGCTCCCTCGCCAACTCAGCATAGCTGTCCTCCTTATCCTCAACAGTACTGGTACTGTTCTCGTTGGGTTCTGGTCGTGTGTGATCAGTCGCAGAAATTGCAGAAGATGAGACTTCAACCATAAACGCAGATGAGCCCTCTGAGACTGACATCCTCTCGTAGGCTTGGATATCCTCTCCACCCAGTTTGCGCATGACAGCACGGAGCAGCCGGCCCACACGAGCCAGGTGCTCTGATCGAGAATTGCTGGCAGCTAGTGCAACATCGAGAGCCTCGGATTCGCGTTGAACAATGACACTCTCGTATTCGCGCATGAGTGCAAGTTCGTGTTCTTGTACTTCGTACTAGTCAAAGAGAGAGATGTGAGTAAGATTTAGGAATAATTTCATGTCAGAGCCCACTCGCATCAAAATGATAACTTTCACTATCCACTGTAAACCACTCATTGGGAGTCATAGCAGACAATTATCACAAAACCAAGCTCAGATAATCACCAACCGCTGAACTCAGGGTCTCTAACTACACAGAAGAACTATCGCTAACATCCATAAATGGGACTTACTGCGCGCGTACGGAATGTGCTCATGAGATTCTCAAGAGTTTGTTCATATTCTCGTATAAGTGTATTGAGTTGCCTGTTGTCATTCAACAGCATCTGATTGTCTGCCGACATGGCAGCGTTCATACGCTCAAGCTCAGCATCATATACGTCTATAAATATATTTATATTCAATGCATTTTGATTAATGACGCGAGATATGAACATGCCTTTTGGTTTGTCTAAATTGAAGCTGCACGTCCAAGTTCATAAGAAGGATCTCCTTATCCAGAGTGCAACATTACCGTCTCAACACGAATCCAGTCTGTGAGTGTATTGCTTGCGTCTGCAGGAGGGCCACTCAGAGTGGGGAACGCAACCTCTACGAATGTGACCAACCTTGATACCTCCCGCCAACGAGTGTAGCGACACAGAAACAGTGCGACTCTGGCTAAGTTGTTCAGAGACTTCTGTAAGCAGAGACCATACGCGCATAATATCATGGTCTCCATTTTGTTGATCCATGATAGCCATTGTGCCCAATGTGGCGGAAACAGACTGAGGCGTGTTCAAGGTTGCTCAGGCTCGTGGCATGATGGTGACTGGAGCAAGAAGTATTGGTAGAGCTCTATTGGCTGCATCGGATCAAAAGGAGCCGGACTGGCGCCGCGTCGATGTCCGTCGTCGAGGCATGCCCTCACAGGCTCACTCAATCACAGACGCTAGCCATGCAAGCGTATCTACAACAGGTGTTTGAGGGGAAAATCGTGAGTGTTAACTTGTTGTGTGACATTGTGCTGGCCATAAACTGGATTCTAGGACTTCGAGGGGCAGAAAAAGGTGGAGACGCTAGTCAGGACAGTTATCATCGCTGCAACGGTGAGCAGCCTACGAATACACTATGCATGAGACTAATTGACTCTTCTAGATTGGTTCATTTCTGCTCGGTTTTGCTCTCCAATCGCTACGTATTACGCTTGGCGCGTTTTCTATCGCGTGCGTCGTTCTGTATCTGGTGAGTCCCTCATAATGAGCCACAGATCGTCTCCTGCTGACGAGGACCAGATCGTTATACCTCCTTGGCCGATGTACAGGCGACATCCAGTACAGTGGCTTCAAGCGAAGCAGGGAAAGGTACAATGAGCTTTCGTTGCGCTTGTGTCTTGCGGGATGCCATTCCGAGTGTACGTGGCTGTCCTAGCCTTGAATAACTTATTCCATTGGATTCAAGTTAGATATGTAAAGCTTTCTTTAAAGCCAAACCCATCGCTCTCATATATCGCATACGTAACTTGCCGAGTTACATATCCACCGACGAGTGGAGGCCTTCAGGCTATCAATCCTATCAATTTAACAGGAAATACGCGGTCTGCACTTCCTGCATCTCCAGTATCCATCATAGTATTGCGTATGTTATCTAAGACCTGGTCCATGAGCAACGGACGTGCGGGCGCAGTCATGAATAGAACTTCAAATTGAGCGTGAGTGATTGAAGTGAATGAACTACCGGAAATCCTGGCTAGTGTACTAGCACTGGTAGTTGTGTGCTCCATAAAAATATGACTTCATTATTCGGGTACACGGCCTGATGGCCTCCTACTTAGAATGGCTGCTTGCAGTCTCAGAACTTCAAGCTTCAAGTCTTTGTGGCCGTTCATATTTGTGTCTGTTGTGCAAGAGCTTTGTACTGATTAAGGAAGGGCACCGTCGGTCAAATGCAACTGACTTGAAGGCCCTCACGCTTAAGTGCGTTACTTATAGGTCGTCTTTTTGAAGCTCACAGCAATTGTTGTAAGTCTTGTCGAAAGGTCGGAGGGAAGCACATATATATTCAGTTCTAGTTCATGATAAAGACATGTAAGTAATCATGTTTGAACACTTTTCTTTTGCGATGATGTCCGTGATGTTATTCGTTCTTATTCATACTGTTTTGATCCCAGCGATGAGTAGTGGCAGCATCGTCCCATTTGAGACGAGCGCTCTCCCTCCAGACCCGAGCAAATTAACGGTATCCCAGCTGAAGGCGTTCTGCAAGGCTCAGAAAATTTCCGGTTATTCAAAACTCGGCAAGGGTGCCTTGATCCAGAGGCTCAAAGAGAGCGCTGCAAGCAGTGATCTTGGCATCTCAACTACGTCTTGTAACCTTCTTCTCCAACGCGAAGAAGCCAGGGATGAAAACACACCTCATGGCGATCATTTAGGTCTTCTAGCTGTTGACGTTGAACGAGGAATCTGTTCCACAGGAGTTGCTAGTGAAAATGCAATCCAAAATCCCCCCACATGTCCTACCAAAAATAGAATAAATCCACGACGAAAGAAACAGAACGGAATGGTAGCGACTGTTGCGCATACATCCAGTTTTGTTCTGGAGAATGTGACTCTAGAGGCATCATCTAGAAGTACCACGAGTGTAACGCCCGCAGTTGATGGCCTAAAACTCAAGGAACCTACTTCTCGTCTGTCCGAAAGACCTTCTGCTTGTAGCCCACCTATTGATCCTTCTGTACTGCGCGCGCTGGTGACTACATCACTCAAGCCTAGTCACTCTGTTTCTGCTTCTCATGTGATTCCTAATGCGACCCCCACAGCAGTATCACGGTCGACGATATCTACTGAAGTCCTATCTGACTCTAGGTTTTCTTCCTCGCGTACGTTCACTAACGCTGCTCTCGTCAACCCTGTCACTGGTGATAAACGATTGCTTGGGGTTCCTTTAAACTCTGTCAAAAAGCGCAAGGTGATGGACAGCATTACTGCCTCCGGGACATGCACTACCTCGGCTTATCTGGCGGCATCTTCATTTCCGTTCAATCGACTTATCAAGCCTTATAATTTGTCTGTTCCGCTGCCTGGATTTATCCCAGCTGATATAATCGCTCGCCAAGAACAAACTGCTTTCTGTAACTCGTCTGGCACATCCAAAGCTCTTAGTACCATTAATCCGATCTCTAGAACCCCTTCTACTGCTCAGCCCACTGGATGGCACTTCAAAAAGCTGATTAATGACCGACAGCCTGCTCCGGCTTCTAGCTTCGCACATGCACACACTGTCTCGTCGATTCATAACAGACCTGTGCAAGGCACTAAGCCTTCAGTCGACAAAAAAATTCCCGTGCTGCGGTACCTCGAGTTTCCGATTACCCCTCCGACTCCTTCGCTTGTGCCAATATTACTTCCGCCTTCGCTTTCCCAGAGAAAGCGAGTGCAGGCCTGGGCAGTCATCCTTAGCGGACTGTCTAATGAAGAGCGAACACAGTGTGCTCAGGTCTCGCGCATGCTTCGCTATGCAGGTAGGTACGCTACAGATCCTGGACTCGCAATAATACTTACCGTATTTTGCCATAGTTTACTTGTCTGCATCTTCTATTCTGAGTCGTTACTACGGTGGAAGACGCTTCGAGCAAGAGGTGACTGACTGTTATTCACAGGCAATGATCAATATGTGGCCATATTTGCGCCTCCGGAAGACTGAAGCGATCCAGCGACTGCGTGTCTATGAAAGATCCTTCCTTCACAATTTTTTTGAGGGGAATGGTCTGTCAAATCCTATTGCAATGCGTCTGTGGTCCAGCCCAGATGATGAAAGACAAATTGTAATAGCCCTACGGTATGCCTTTTTTTACTGGCCACGGCGGTAGCGCGTATAGCCTGATTTAATACCGGCTTTGAGGTTTGTCATAACCAGGCTATGGTTTGCGTTATCGGTTGGAGATGGAAACCACTGTGTAGCTGCTACACCACAACTGTGGGGTATTATAGCGGATGTTCAGCCGGTAATTAAGGGCGAGATCTGGAGTATCACTGTTGTATCGCGGTCCAAAACGGTTTCCATCATGGAGATTTTTTACGTTCTAGAAGCGACATGCGAAGTTGTAGGACGACCATCCCTAATGTCCCCAAAGGGCAATTCCGATACTTTTGCTTCAAGCTTTTCAGAGTTAAGCACGCTTCCCATTCGTGCCGACTGGTCCTCCTACATTGAAGACCATATGTCACCTTCCAACTCTGGATCATCGTCCTCACTCTTGAGTCTGCTCAAATGGGCAAATCACGAAGAGTATGATCGTGCAATTAGTCGACTTTGGCTTAAACGCATCGTCGGCGAGGGCGCACTTGGGGAGGCAAAACGTGTTGTAGCTGAGCGTTACGTATTTGCATGTGTCGTAGCCAATAGGTAAGGCAACATAATAGTAGATATTCCTCCAGCTGACGGGTGGGGTTTCAGTATTGGTGGGCAATGGATGACAGCGACGGCTATGGCCCAAGAATTTGCTGGGCTACCTGCGCCCAGAGTTGGTAATCCTAGTGCAAAGCAGAGGCCAAAATTAGTCAACTTGTACCTTCCTGAGTAGGTCCATCATAGCCAGCTCCGGGCTGAATGACAATGACTGATGATCCTGCAGACATCACCACATCGAGAGCGTGTATTTTACTGCGTCCGAAGGGCAGCAGCTGCATGCAGCTCTGGCCGTAGTGCAGACACCTCACAGGTCGTATTACATCCTTCGAGATAATGGTATGCAAGTTGGCTGCGAAGAAGATGGGATCGGCTTGCTTTGGCAGCAATTGCTGGGATGTGATGCATCAGGCGTCTGAGTTGGAACATGGCATAACATCTTGAAGGTTCTAAGTTCCTCGTCGGAATACTGATATGGTACTTTGCGGTTTTGTCTCGTGTGTATATATTTACTGAAGTCGATGCTGACAATGAATCTCGACGTCTGAGAGCGCTACCTTGCAATGCGTTTCTTACTGGTACTCCCGCCATTTGTGATAGTAGCAATCAGTATTTTCATCATAATTACTCGACGACTCGAACTGCTTTCGGCCGACCATTGAAGGTTGAAGTATTAACCACCTGTAAAAACCCCAGACAGTATAAACCTGTGGATGTCGTCTTATGAATATTGCGGTAATCAATGAGGTCAGTATCGGAAGCGCATTGGATCTTTAGTCAGAATACAACGTAATCAAATTATCACTATTTCCGCGGCTATGATGCTTGGATTCCTCTGCTACCCACCAGTCGATTCCCATGTAAGAAACTACGACGCGCTCATCACGCCTCTGCTTGATGTTAGCTCTGCTCCCAGCTTGTAACCCAGCACCTGTGCGTGAGCAGTTAAATGTTAGTAATCGTGATTTTATCTCAATCTACTACGTAGGTACTAACCTTATCCCAATCTAGCTTCGAGCGCGTCATGGGCAGGGCTCGCCGTAGCCCTTTGAATGTTTTCTCGCCCATTTCTGCATAGGCGTCATTGAGCGACGCCTGATACTTACCCTCCTCCACTTCGATCACGGCAAGAACCTTCGAAGCAGAGGAAGCAGCAGACGAAGGCACGATCGTCGGGGGAAGCGGAAGTTCAACGGTGTGCGTGGTAGAGAGTTGTACCTGCACACGCATGCGAGTTAACGAGCATCAGATTCCGAAAATAAAAAGACGTACGTTGCCTTGCTCGTAGTAGTGTACGTTAACAAGAATTTTGCCCTTGAGCTGCTTCTCTTCCAGATCAATTATGTACTCCGACCGCCACCTGCCTGACCTGAAATTCATCAGATTGGGGTTCATCGCTCTTTTATGTAGGACAAAAGGGACCGCGGAGGCGTACCAGAAGTTAGATGGGTTATACTTATTCGCTACAATCTGAATATAGAAGCGAGACGCAAAGCCTTGAGCGGGAAATACCGAGGCAACACCGTCGTGGAAGTGGGCAGTAAGGTAAGATAGCGAGGATGCTTCCAATGCCGCGCTGTTATACCCGATGAAGAAGTGACGACTGCAAGGTACATGTCGGAGGACCTACCGGAATGGCTCTGATGCAGCATCGGGCTCGATAGGTTCAGGCTCGGACGCTTCCTGAAGTCGAGGGTTACAGAGAACCTAGCAAGAGGGGAAAATATGGACGCACAAGACTGATGTGGTCAAAGCGAAAACTTGTTCTCGATCGCGGGTCCCAGAACCTGTCCAACACCTCGTCTGTGTCTCCTGCACCACTCAAGTTCGTGACTTTCGCTGAGTCGCTAATGATGGACTGCAATACATGCCCAATCGCCATCGGACAGTCAGCCGCTATGAATCCTGGCTGGGGTCACCAATAAGGCTGACCTGGTGATTATGCCCTGGAACGTCCGCAGTGATAAACTGCGCTAAGTTATACTCGCGCAAAGCTGGAAGAACGCCTTCTTGCAATGAATCGTCGTCGGAGATGATGTTGCGCACATCTGTTTGGAATGTCCATGGTGGCTCGCGTTGCGGTCATGAGCAGATGATCCAAAGAGCAACGACTTACCGTTGAGTACATCGTTAATTTCTCCCGGTGGTGACTGCAGGAGGAATCTGGAAACTGCTTCAATACGCTGTTGGGATTCCATAATGAAAGGTTCGGGCCCTTAGTAGGTCTTGAATTCAATCGAGGCTTTCTCGTAAGTTGTAATTCGCACTGAGGGCGTCGAGGGATTCTTGCTTACGTCATCATTATAAAGGAATACGATAGTGCAGCTTTCGATTTTCACGCTGATTTGTTCCATGAATATGGAGCACGGCGACAGCTGGTTTCCTCCATACAGTTTGAAATTGTACGACCAAGTACCATCGTCATATTGTGATAAGTAGTAAGTAAATACATGAGTGTCGCGTCGCGGGGTGAAGCAGGGTATAACCAGAGAAAGGATCCAAAGAAATAAACAACACGCCTAGAGTGCACCCGAAGGGTCCAGGTCAAACCAACAAACGAGACAACAGTAACCAGGCACAGAAATCTGTCAGTCCGCGAGTCCGTCTGAAGAACGATATCCAAAAGTGTTCAGTGGCGTATGCGAAGGGGGTAGGGAAGGCCACGGAAGATCAAAACCGTGATAATGTCCCGCGACGGGATAGAATGACATGAGCCGAGCGTAAGGAGCGGACGGGAGGCGGGTCGCGCACGACACCAGTCCCAAAAGAAGACTGATCTAGCTGCTCCAAAGGCAGGTCTGTATGTACAACGGCAGCGGCCCGTCGTCTCCTGGAGGCCTTCACTCTAGGGTGCGATTTACAAGGCTGCGTCGATGCCGGACAGAGTGGCGCGCAATGTGCGCAATGTCGCCTGATTCCGGGGGGACGTGGATGGGGACAGGTGGGAGGGATACGAGTGTAGGTACTACGTCGTCCAAGATGCCCCGGTCCTTGAGCGTAAGCGTCGGAGAAACATGCAGATATGTCGATGCGCCGGCGACGGCAGATGAAGTCGTAACGCCTTCATCGGCGCTGCCACCGATGGCTGTTACAACAGAGGAGTCTGAGTTGGAGTCATGCTGCGACTTGTAAACACCGAAACCGATAGCTGCAATGATGATCTACGAGTGCACGGCGTGAATCCCGACCCAACAAAGAGTGAAGCTAAGATGACATACGAGTAGCAGAAAGATTCCAATGACCCATACCCAACGAGAGTAGCGCGAGCTCCCGTTCATTGTCTTCCTTAGCCATGCACTTGTTGGGAGGGGTAAGACCAGAATCAACGATAAGAAACGGAGAACGTACCTTTTGCTTCCACGAGCATTGTGGTCTTCCTTAGCTACCATACTGAAGCGTCGCCAAAAATCCTCGCCCTGGCCTCGCCTCGGGAGAAGTGTCTCCTCCTTGTCGCCGCGCAAAATGGGTTGAGTGGGCGAAAACTTGACATCGCGCCTTGTACTGGCCGCGCTAGACGGACGAATAAACGCAGGCGCAATCGGGGTCATCGGAGCCTGGAGCTCCAGAGGTGAGTGCGGGAAATGGGGCGAGACAGGCGAGTTCTGTCGGGAGACGAGAGTAAGTGGCTTTGGAAACGCCTGCGACATCTCGGGCGACATTGACATCGCGGGTGCAGGCGCAGGAATATGCTGCTTGCCCTCTGGGGTGGCGGCGCGAGGTGGGCGTGAGAGGTTGAGGGCGGCAACGGGGGCGGCGTAGCCAGGCTTAGGAGCAGCAAGCGGGATGGGCTGCTGGGGAACCCTTTTGCTATCGTCGAATGGGTTTTCGGCGGGAGGGACACGACCCGAACCGTCTAAGTACTGGTCGTACCTGGATGCGAGGATCGGGATTCAGTGACCCGGCTATACACACTAAACGAAATCACTGCAAGGTTGAACGAATATCACTACAAGCGATCGTCGACCATCCATGCGCACCATTGCCATCCATATAAGCCCCTCAAAACGTGGGCACTCCCAACGCTTACGACAACACATGATTCCAACTAGCGAGGGAGAAAATACGCACATGTTGTACGCAGATGTCCTGTCGTTGGGGTTCGAAGGCGGCTGCTGTCTAATTCTGCGGGTCTCAGTAGGGTGTTGTTGATATACAGAGTCCGGCTCGTCGGTTGCATAGGGCGGTCGTCCGGCGAGAGGGGGCGTGCGATAGATAACTGGCTGGGCCATGCTTCACTCCGGAATGAAGGAGCGAGATTATGAAAGAGCGAAATGAAAGAGAATGTATGCCTCAGAACACCAAGGCCAGCGAGAGCTGAATAATGAACTTCCGGAGATGAGAGAGCGCAGGCAAGATGAGAGAACGGACGCGTTCGCACGTCTTTGTATTCTCTGCCGCCAGCTCGGCTATATTTGGACTCATCAAGAAACTTCATCTGGTCGCAACCATCGGTCACGCTGTCAAGCCGTTGGATGTTCTAGCGTACTGGGTGGCCGAGCTATCAAGTAAGATATAATCCAGTGAACTTCAGGCTGTTTTCTGTCCTGTGGTTCTAAGTACACAAAAACTGCTATTACGATTATTTCCACTTCTGGACTAATCGTCATTTATTGCGCTATTTGTTCTTATTTGTGAATCGTCGCACTCGACGCGTCGCGACGCGTCCTTCTACCCGGACTTCCATCATTAACAACTCTTCAGATGCCGAAGCGCAGAGCCGTATCGGACAACAGCGACATTGAAGATGCGTCCTCGCAGGCCTCTAAGCGCGTTCGTACAAAGAGCAGTGAGGATGAAATCGAAGGGACAATTCGTCAGGCGATCAGTCGCACGAAAGGCAAGGGCAAGGCGCGTCAACGCACCGAGGATGTAGCCGATGATGAGGACGATGAGGACGACAATGTAGCGGACATTGCGTTAGACGAAGATGAGGAGAGGAGATTTGAGGAGGAATACGAAGAGGCTATCCGGGAGAAAGTGATGTCCAAGGGCAAGACACAAGGGGTGAGCCTTAGTTGTCTGCAATGTTAAGAATGAATTCGATGTGGTTGTGGATTCGACATATTCAGGGCATCGCAGAGATGGGCATCATCGAGTCGCTGGAAATGCATCAATTCATGTGTCATAAGTACTTGACGTTTACTTTCGGACCGCAGATCAATTTCATTATCGGTATGTGAGCCTGGTCTGATGTTCCTTGCTCAAGTCTAACTCGGCGGGCATAGGTCATAATGGAAGTGAGTTCAACGGTCACTAAATCACTGTGCATATATTCAATCATTGCACTATTACTCTTCCCCTGATAGGTGGCAAGAGCGCGGTTCTCTCTGCATTGACTGTAGCTTTAGGCGGGAAAGCTACTTCTACAGGGCGCGGGGCCGGTCTGAAATCTTTTATTCGTGAGGGACAAGGGTACGTTCAATACTTGAGTTCGCTGCTGATTTTGCACTTCATTGTTTTTTTACGGTGGCCAGTGTGGCAGAAGTTACGGTCGTCTTGAAGAATCAGGGTGAGGAGGCATACAAACCCAGCGAATATGGCAAGAGCATCACCATCACACGTCGTTTTACCAAGGAGGGCTCATCCTCATACAAAATCAAAAGCAAGGATAATCGAGTGATTTCGACTAAACGGGAGGAGTTATCCGCTATTTGCGACCACATGAATATACAAGTCGATAACCCGATGAATATCCTTACTCAAGGTGCGTCTCGCAGGATGCTGCCAAGATTCGTTTGATGACGGCTTCACAAGACTCTGCTAGGTAGCGTGTAGCTCCACACTCAGTTGTTATACACGCTGTTCCTAATAGGTCGCTTCGTAGACAGTTTTTGAGTGCCTCGCAGCCTGCAGACAAATATAAGGTAATAACATATTTGTACCGATGTATTTGACTAATCATGTTCGGCTAGTTCTTCCTTCGTGGTACACAGCTAAGCCAGTTAAGCGAAGAATATCAAATCTGCCTGGAGGGTATTAGCCAGACCCGGAAGCTTCTGAAACTCAAGTCCGAAGCAATTCCCGATTTAGAGGAGGCGTTAGACGACGCCACAAACCATTTCCAAGAGGCTCATAAGGCCCGCGAGCAACGTCATAAGGCTGATGAGCTAAAGAAGGAGCTTGCGTGGGCCCATGTTGCTAGCAAGGAGATGGTTTGCTCACACATTTGCTCGAACTCTCCATCTCCTAATATTGTCATTATGCAGGAGTTGACGACTAAGTTAGAGGAAGTCAGTAAACTCCGGCATCGGTCGAGCAAGATCAAAACCGATCTCGCTACCGCTGAGGTCAGGAAAGGTTGTCGGATTGAGTGCCGTCCATGCTAACATGCTACTGACAGAAAAAGTTTGATGCGGCCTCTCGTACAGTGGAGGCTTATGAGGCTGACCTCGAAGGAATGGGCGAAATTGAACAGATTCGAGACCAGAAGAAAGCTCTCACGGATAAAATGAGAGACAACAAGGGTAAAATCGCTGACTTGAAGGTGAGCATATACATTTTATAGATGAGGATTTAGATTCAATTGACAAGCTTGTGCATTTATAGGAAGAGCAGAAAACGATGAACACTAACCTCACCAACGTCAAGAATCAGATTTCTGCGCTCAATGCGCAGATCGAGAAAGAGAAGGCCCGCGTTGAGGGACTGTCACAGGGGAAGCGGGAGGAGACCAACTTAAAGCTACAGCAAGCCCAAGCTGACTGCTCTGAAGCCGAACGTCGGCTACACACTGTTAGGACGGAGAAGGAGCAGAAGGTCGCTGAGCTTAAGGAATTCGAACAAATCGGCAAACAGATGGAGGGTGAGGTCAATGCGCTCAAGAACCGGGTTATGGAGAGTCAGAATCAGTTGCAGCAATGCATCGCAAGGGAGAAGAATAAACTCGCGCCATTTGGTAACAATATGGACCAGGTGCTACAATCAATTCAACAGATGAGATGGCACGGTAATAGGCCCGTAGGACCGTTTGGAATGTATGTCAATGTTCTGGAGCCGGAAAGGTGGGCCCCTTTGATGCGCGTGCAGCTGGGTAGCATGATGAGTGGGTTTGCAATTACGGATCCGCGCGATCGGCAGCCTCTGTACGACCTACTCCGTCGCACCAGAAAGTAAGAAATTCGTATGCCCCTGTTCTAAACTGTTGCTTATACACGAGTTTTCAATAGTGACCGAAGCACCATTACTATCTCGGAGGTCGATTTGTTCGATTACAGCAGGGGAGAGCCCCCCGCGGGGGTGCCTACCGTCTTGCGCGCTCTGGATGTGAGTACTTGGTCACGATGTCGACGAATTTACCGTTAACTATCATGCAGGTGACGGATGAATGGGTGCTTCGTATCCTGATAAATACTAATTCCATTGAGAGAATTGTTATCGCCCCTACACGTCGAGAGGCCGATGACCTTTTGCAGACCTTAGGAAGGGGTGGAATAGCATGGTCTGCCGACCTGTTTAGGGTCCAACGCTTCGCGTATGTGCATTATGGGCAGCCGGTGTTTAGAACTCAATATTTTGCTTCGTAGCGAAGGTGGTGGTTCGTCCAATCCGATGAACGGAATAGGTGGCGGCGATCCTCGCCATCAGTTGTTCACAGGGAATGATCCCTCTGTCGCTAAAGCGTACGTCTGATTATGGTGCATGGCGACCGTATTCGTTTACTGAATCCGCCGCTTTAGACGTTGGGAGGATGAAGTCAAGAAGGCCGAAGCAGAGTATCGTGCCATGGGCGAGAAATTGAAGGTTCACAAGCACCGCTATGATCAGCTGCAGAAGGATATACGTGGCCTTAACGTAGGCTTCAGCAGCTGTTTTCTGTGTATATCGCTGAAGTTCGAGCTTAGGCACAGGAAGCCCAGGTGAACCAGCGGCTGAGAGAAATGCGGTCTATCAGAGATGCGCTCGTGGTTGAGAGCAATGAAGACATGCCCGTCACCATCCAGGCGCTCGAGGAGTCCAAGGCGGTATGCTCAAAGCTTGCTTACATAAATGTTTTTCTCATATTACTCTAATATTTTCAGGAATTGGAGAGAGACAAAGAGTCAACTATTGATCAGTTCAAGGCGGTGGAGAAGAGCAGAGCAGAGTTGGATGCTGCGCAGATTCCCTTTGTGGAGAAGCTGGAACAGCTCAACCGTCAAATTCGTAATTTTGACGGCGAGAGGACCAGAATCGGTGTGAGTGTTTTATTTGCCAGTGAGATCGTGATGACGAATGTTCTCCATAGCAACTGATCGCGGATGCGGTGGAAAATCGAGTTCAGGCGCAGAACAGCATGCAGTGGTATGCCAATAAACTACAGGCAGAACAGAAGGGGATTCAGACTGCTGAAGAAATCGCAAAGAACGTACAAGAAGAGTTTGAGGTACGAACTGTCGTTTTCAACGGTTCTTTGCTTATCTTCAGTCAGGCCTGGACGGCTAAAGCTGAGGAATACTGCGAACGTTGGGACAATCCACGCAAGGCAGATGAAGTGCAACGCGCACTAGAGGCTGTTCAGACTGCTTTGCGTCAAAGGGAGAAAGAGTAAGTCTGTGCTTCCCCCCTTTGTGTAAGATTTCTTACGAGTTTGCTTCAGGCAAGGCGCATCTGTGGAAGAGATGACTATCGAGGTCAACAAAAGAAAGGCTGCGCTTGATACGGCCAAGAAGGACCTGAAGAACATGTTGACACTGAACAAGGTGTGATATACACTATATTCCTGACCAAGTATATTGCTGAATTTGCAAACCTATAGGCCCTCAAGAAGTCGATCAAGATTCGAGTAATGAAATGGCACGACTTCCGTAGACACATTGCATTACGATGCAAGGTGTATTTCCAATACCACTTGTCTAATCGTGGCTACTACGGAAAAGTTTTATTCGACCATCCTCGTGGGACGCTGCAGCTTAAGGTAAGTTCGATGTCGGATCAATATACAGTAAATCAGCTTTCTTGCGTCTATATAGGTGCAAACGGACGATCAGACACTTACACAAAATACGAGAGAGAAAGACCCTCGTTCCCTCAGTGGAGGTGAAAAGTCGTTCTCCACGATCTGTCTGCTTTTATCGCTTTGGGAGTCGATTGGCTGTCCTATCAGATGTCTAGGTGCGTGACATGGCCTCCTTGTCGTATTTATTACTGACGTATCTGTGTTTTTATAGATGAGTTTGATGTCTTCATGGATGCTGTGAACCGGCGTATAAGTATGAAGATGATGGTAGGTCCAGCATACTTCGTTGCCTTCGTGTCACTGATACGACAATGTCAATAGATCGACACGGCGAACACTTCCAACCAGAAACAGTACGTTTTGATCACGCCGCAAGATATGACAAACATCAGTATTGGCAACACTGTACGAGTACATCGCATGACGGACCCTGAGCGGGGGCAGGGTGTTTTGGCGTTCACGTAGATCGGAAAGGTGGTGCAACCTCTAAAGTTAGTACTATAGTAATTGAGACCTTGTGTTTAACCTCAGATTCTTCTAATCTTGCTACTATCTTCGATTGTATTGCGGCAGCTTTTAGAGTAAAGACGGTGGTAATGATATTAAGCTGTTTCAGATTCCAATCAAGTACTGCACGCGAAAAGACATCATACTGTAACAGTACTTAGATTGTATTAAGTTACATCTAATTGGCAGTGGTTCGGACTGTTGTCCAAGCAAGGCACTCAAGAGCATCTTTGGCGCGACGCAGCGTCCCGGTGGCTTTTCGCCCACCGAAAACGCTCTAAAAATACATTCTTTCGGATCGAGAGACCGCTGCAGAAAACATACATGCAGAAAGCAATATGGTAAGGGAGGGATGGTGGGTGCGCGAAAAACGGGATCTGGTGCGATCCTCGATTAGCTACGAGAAAGAGAGGGCGCTCTCCTATTTATCTACCCGCCAGGCATATCAGGCATTCCTGTCGACCTCCTAAGTCTCGTCAGCCATGGAGTCGGTTCGGCGAGCGGGAGCTTCCAAGAAAGGAAAGAACTCCACACCGAGCGCGGCGCGAGTCGAGTCTCACTAGTCGCCCTTCCGGTCAAGCAGAGACTGTGTACGCTTCCAGTATTAGTAGCATTTTAAGACGATTCTACCGGGCGCGGTTGTTTTGAGGCTTGTAGTCCGTCGGCCCCACACCAATCGATTTGCGAAAATAAAATATTTAAGCTCAATTGTTTTCGAGCACCTGACTGACGCGATCACGTGGTTGGTACCGACGCGTACCCAGTAACGATTTCAATCATTCCACGCTTGGTCGCTCCCGACGACCAGGTCATCGGTGGTTCATTATATCGGAATATCAGAACTGGATGATCAGTTTTTAAAGGACTCTCCGACGACAATGTCAGTATTTGTGCGGAATGTTTTTTCTTGATGTAGACACTGAATACTTTCCGATACTGCATAGGGCTACACTTCACAAGAAATCATGCATGTACAGTGGCTGCGACTATGTAACCCAAGCAGACTCGAAGACGAAACTGGAGCATAACATGAGCTTGCATAGGTCTACGATTCACGGGTTAACGACGAGTGTATGGTATCACGGTTGGTGGAGTTCTTCAGCCGCGCTACAACATATGCGATTGCTTGCTCATATGAGATCTAGGTCAAAAAGTGGATATAAAACGAAACTCTAAAACCCAAGAGATACAGTGCCTTTGCGGAAAATATTCGCATAAGAATTCTTCAAATGTACGGAACCATGCGATGAAAGCCCATAGAGACGTTCTTCCGAAGACCTACGGCTCTACTGCTAGTGTGGCTGGGGTTAAGAACAGCCGTAACGCAGCCACACATTCTGACTCCGATATGGTCTCGAATATAGAATCTTCCTCTCCTCCGCATTCTCCGTCGCCAATATCAAACGGTTCTCTGACACCGGTTAAACCCAAGCGCAAGGTACCCACATCCTCTCCTGCCCGATCCTCCTCTGCAGTTCCTATGCCCTCCAGTAAAGCAGAACCTCCGCACAGAATACTTAAGTCTCTTCCACGGAGTACGATCTCAAAGTCAGCGTCTGCATCGAAGCGGCCCGCCTTGAACAATGCTCAAAGTTCCGTCCAGAAAGGGAGTCTGTTCAGTGCGTACATGTCGTCGTATCTCTCGCATTCGATAAACAGTACCGGAAAAAGCATATCTCTGAGCACAGCCTCAAAGCATACCGGGTCGACAAAGCCGAAGCTTAAAGCATTATCGTCGTTCGTTCCACCACCGCTCCCCGCCTCTACCAAAACCTTCACCTCTCAGAGCACGCTGAAGCACCCGCGGAAGGAGTTACCATCAACCATATCGCGCTTCACGGCGACTCATCCGTCAATTCTCCTCGATATGGATATACCAGACATTACGGATTTACCTTCTGCTCCGCAATCTTCATTGGAAAGTATGTCAACGAGGCGCAAAGAGTCAAGCAATTCTGCGAACAAACGAGCTCGCAGCACAAAGGTGTCTACAGAGACGACAGCTGAAGCGCGCGCTTCAGACAAAGTAAGAAAGTCTCGCGATGTCGACTCTGAGGAGGAAGTGGTAGTGCGCAAGAAACCGAAAACTCATGGAGAGCAAGCAGACAAAGTGAAGAAGACCCGCATTAAAGATATCCTGAACAAACCTGTTGGCAAGTCTACGTATGTTCCTCCAGCTGTGAATTTCGACCCGCCGTCTCCGTCATTACCAGCCCCGTCGTCGGTTACGAAGACACAGGCCCGGCCGGCGACTGCTGTCTCATTTGTCAAGTAAGTCAGCACCAGAAGTCCCGTTGACGGTATACCCAGATTTTGCAAGAGTTGCTCTGCAGTCATGCAAGACGAGAAATTCAAGCGGTGCTCAGGATGCCGCGATAAAGCGAGTGCTGAAAGGAGGAGGAAGGAACAGGAGAAGAAGAACAAGAAGAAGAAGGAGCAGGAGGTTCTGCGTGGGCTGGAAGCATTTATGCAACAGTTTAGAGCCGCGAGTCAAAGTGGGGGCAAGAAGTCCAGTGGCAGTTCCGCGAAAGTTTTGGGCAAGCGCAAGGCCGGAGGTATTACAAACGGCGATATCAAGCGTCCCGCTCCTTGGACACAAGGCGTTGAATACCAGACTAAGGATGAGCTGCTATGCGCGATTAAGAACGGTTTGCTTGCCCGATCACAGGCCGGAGGCGGCCCGTTCGATTTCCATGGTGGCTATGCGGCTATATGTGGCCCGAACCCCGCGACTGAAGCTCGGGTCAATGCTATTGTGGAGAAGGTCGAGGAGCAAGGGTTACCGTGAGTTTTCAAGTTAGTTGACTATCGAAGTGATCTCACGCGTATTTCTCCTCTTTGCGCGAATAAAAGCATTGGCAAATTCCAGGAAAGTTCGCTAGCTGCTAGAAAAGATAAGCTGAGCGAGGTCTACGCAGACAAGGCACACTGGCACGTATATTGCTGTAATTGCAGTGCGCGGCGTGTGGGTGCGTCCAGTTCCTCAAAGTTAACGTGCGGTGGTCGAGTCCGGGTGACGATAGAAATGACGAACGAAAGGGAGCAATTCGGCATTTGGGGAGAGGTTGTCACAGTCAAAGTGTGGCATTAGCTGCATCTTGGTAACGCTTAACACTTTTGCTGATCTTTACATTCCACACTCACGTTCGAATTCGCCATTACTGTAATATTAATACTAAAAGTAAAGCCCCGAAATTTCGCTAATTCATTCATGTCCTAAGTCCTAGAGACTGGATACCTATTAGGCAACGTGATCTCCGGGTCCGTTCGGCCTATGTTCTCGAACAGCTCGTGTGGTTTGATTGCGGTCGAGGCTTTCCAAATTCCTCAGAACTTTTCTCCGGCTTCGGAAGTCCGGTGGTAGATACACGTGACCGACACGTACGCGTCCCGGAAACGGAATCATGCGCGCTCACGCGTACTGTTTATTACTGTTCGTTGTCAGAGACCGCGCGGCGCGAAACGTACTTCTTGCTCCGTGGAAAGGAAATCTAATCATCCCTGTCTTTGCTCGTTCTCGAAATCAGGACGGGCTCCTGGGATTCCTGCATTCATATACTTGTATCAAAAAGCCCAGTACCCGACCTGCTACCTAACTTTCTAACGTCTCTCCTTCATCGAAACCTCACGTATATGCTGAGTTGATGGCACCGTCTCTGCGCCCGAGACCACTTCCCCGTGCGCTGTTCTTCTCCCTCATACCCGTAGCGCTTTGGCTGCTCTTCCGACCGCTCCTGGACCCCGTCCCTCCACTGCCTGCACTTCACGCCTCACTCGGTTTCTCCATCTTTGCTCTCCTCGGCACGTTATATCTTGTACCTGCGCTTGGGAGCACGTTCGTCTGTGCCGGCCTTAAAGGGCGGGACCTACTGAAAGTATCTGATGATCCTATGTGAGGAAGATCCCATACCCGCTTTGTGCATATCACTCATAAATGGACAGCCCAGAGAGTCTCGGGCTCGTCTGCGCATCTCTTTATATTCTTCTTCTCATCCTATTCACTCCCTTTGCATTCTCCGATGTCTTCACTCATCACATAGAAGAGTCTGTACGGAAACCACGCGAAGGTCTTGTTGTGAGTGAATTCCCGCATTATCAGGTGAGCTATTAGATGATATGGCAACGAGCTTAATCGCTGATTTTTGCTATAATAGTTATCAGTGTATCTCTCATCGTTGCTGTCCCTCTTGATAGCCACAATGCTGGGATTCTTAGATGATGTCTTCGATATCCGCTGGAGGCATAAGCTCCCAATACCGATCATTGCGTCCATACCCTTGCTCATGGTATATTATTCCGAACGCGGCAACACCGATGTTGTTGTGCCTATTCCGCTTCGCTGGCTATTTGGCTCGCTGCTAAACCTTGGTGCGTGTTCCAACGTCTGTTGCTTACAATTATGCCCACTTACAGTAATTATGTGCGCCAGGTCCACTCTACTACGTGTACATGTCCCTCTTGTCGACTTTCTGCACAAACAGCATCAATATCCTTGCTGGGATCAACGGCTCGGAGGTCAGCCAAGCGCTCGTGATTGCGCTTTCGGTCATCCTGAACGATCTGCTTTACCTTCCGTGGCCTATTGGCTTTCGCATTGCGCTGCCGCTCCATCTTTTGGGCCGCCCGGCCGAGGTTGATGTCGGCGGAGTGTGGCATGCAGGTATGGCGTACGGCAGCAGGGTTCTCGTCGAACGCCACCTATTCAGTCTATACTTCATGCTGCCGCTCGTTGGCGTATGTGCTGGTTTCATGTATCACAACAGGTCAGTGAGTGCCAGCTATGAAAGACAATGAGGTATTGAGTTCTGCAGGTATCCGGCACGCGTCTTCCCAGGAGATACTTTATGTTACGTGACGGGTATGGCATTCGCTGTGGTCGGCATTCAGGCGCATTTCTCCAAGACACTCCTTCTCTTCTTCCTGCCCCAGATCTTCAACTTTGTCCTTTCATGTCCACAACTCTTCGGGCTCGTACCGTGCCCGAGGCACCGTGTCCCGAGGTACGCTGCTGCATCGGTTGTTCCAAGGATATCGTGACCGAATTTACACACAGATTTGAGGCGGAGACGGCTTTATTGCATCCGTCAAGGGCGGAGTTCAAAGATCGCCTACCGTCGCACCTTGCTACCATTGTGTTGCGGATATTCTCGTGGTTTGGATTTGTGGAGTTGGCGGAAGACCCGCACACGAAGACGATCATGTCCACCACGAACCTTACCATCCTGAACGTGTTTCTGCTCCGTTTCGGGCCGATGAGGGAAGATAGCCTCGTCCGAGTGTTGATCTGCTCGCAGGTAGGATCAATCCTACATTCTTGCGCGGCTCACGTGTCTGATGACGTTCTCTGGTAGGTCGCGGGCAGTATGCTTGCATTTGTCGTGCGCTATGGGCTCGCGGGACTGCTATACGATGGCAATCGTCGATAAGTGTGCATTGCGTTTAACGCGCCTACAACCCAGGGCTGACGCAGGCTGCGGGCGCCGATGCGCACGAGGCGTTGCGGGCTGCTGTGACGCCATTGAGGCTCGACCTGCAACACTGCAGGCATCCGCAATTGCAAATCGTGGTGTAACGCAAGTCGGCGTTGTTCGGAATCGAATCAGAATGCGAACAGGGGCGCCGGGTATGCAGACAGCCGAGATGTCTGGCCTATGTACCACTTCTGTAAGTTATCCTCATGTTTAGAGACAGTCCGTAATACACAATAGATACCCCTCCCCGAGCGTCTGACGGGCAAATTCACTGGCGCCAAGTTGAGGTAGGCGAGGGAAGACGGAGGCGATAGAGCGTATATGCGGCGGCGCTGGTAGCGAGTAAGTGCGCCAGGACGCGGCGGGGACTCTCGGACGACCGACGCGAGCAGTCGGCCGACTAAACGCGACCTCTGCCCGCGCGGAGACGGGGTGTGCGTGGCGCCTGCTGTGTCTCCCCCGCACTCGGCTGCCAAATTAGGCAGGTCTAGTCGAATCACATGTCCCCCGCCTCTCCCAGTGATCGGCTCTAGACGAAACAGCAATGCAATGAAAGGACGCAGAATGCTCCCCTCCCCGAACATCCCCTCCCCCCTCTTCTCCCTCAACCACAACCATGTCTCACGCAGAACGCTCTTCATTTGCCGCTGAGGTTGCCCGCGTTGAGCAATGGTGGAAGGTCAATATTCTCGTTTTGTGCACTCTCTATCCCCCTGACCATCGCTGCAGGACCCTCGCTTTGCCCGCGTGAAGAGACCATACACTGCTGCGCAAGTCGTCTCCAAGCGCGGGACACTGCCCATCTCATACCCTTCAGATGTCCTCGCCAAAAAACTCTGGGCTAGTCTTTCGGAGCACTTCAGAAGAGGGACCCCGTCGCATACCTATGGAGCGTGAGTCATTCATTGAAACAGATAATCCCTCGCTCACCGTTCTCTAGTCTGGATCCTGTGCAGGTTACACAGATGGCCAAGTATCTCGAGACGGTATATGTCTCAGGATGGCAATCGTCCAGTACTGCATCCAGCACGAACGAGCCCGGTCCCGACCTCGCAGGTTCGTCGTCGCGGGTTCTTTTCCGCGCATCCACCGACCTTAATTCTCGTAGATTATCCCTCCAACACGGTCCCGAACAAGGTCGAGCATCTCTTCATGGCCCAGCTCTTCCACGACCGCAAGCAAGCAGAGTCACGATCTAACTTGTCCGAAGCCGAACTTGCCAAGACTCCATTCATTGACTACCTTCGCCCCATCGTTGCCGATGCCGATACAGGTCATGGTGGTCTCACAGCAACGATGAAGCTTGCCAAGATGTTCGTCGAAAAGGGTGCAGCGGGAATTCACATTGAAGACCAGGCTCCGGGTACGAAGAAGTGTGGGCATATGGCCGGCAAAGTACTTGTCCCCGTCTCGGAACACATCAACCGACTCGTCGCGATTCGTCTCCAGTTCGACATTATGGGCGTGAACAACCTCGCCATTGCACGAACGGACTCCGAAGCGGCCACTCTTATCACGACCAACGTTGACGAGCGCGATCATCCATTCATTCTCGGTTCGACCAATCCCGACCTCCGGCCACTTGTCGTTGTTCTTGCCGAGGCTGAGCGGGCAGGCAAAACTGGTGAAGCGCTCGAAGCAGTAGAGGAGCAGTGGATGGCCGCAGCAAAATGCCAGCTTTTCTCGACGACGCTGGCGAACGCGCTCCGCTCACAGGTGAGCGCCACTCCGATTACGCTGGAGCGCTTCGTCGCGCGGGTCAGCAGCCTGTCCTACTCGGACGCGGTCGCAGTCGCGAAGAAAGAATTTGGGCTGAGGAACGCGCCTTACTGGGACTGGGACGCGTCGCGCACGCGCGAGGGCTTCTACCGCTACCAGGGCGGCACACAGGCTGCAGTAAGCCGCGCGATTGCGTTCGCGCCATATGCGGACTTGCTTTGGATGGAAACGAAGAAGCCGATTCTTGCGCAGGCGCGTGAGTTCGCGGATGGTGTGCACAAGGTGTACCCGGACCAGTGGCTCGCGTACAACCTCAGCCCGTCGTTCAACTGGGAAGCTGCTGGGCTGAACACGGACGACATGCGTGCGTTTGTGTGGGAGCTTGGAAAGCTCGGATTCTGCTGGCAGTTCATTACGGTACGTGTTCTCTTGGGATGGGAGGATGATGTTTGACGTGTCGCGCAGTTGGCTGGTCTTCATTCGAACGGATACATCAGTGATCTATTCGCGAAGGCTTTCGCGACTGAGGGTATGAAGGCGTACGTTGAGCTCGTCCAGCGCCGTGAGCGGGAGATTGGCTGCGATGTCCTCACCCACCAGAAGGTACGTTGTGTAGCAGCATCATGGCGTTGCCTCTTTATCGACCTTGAATCTAGTGGAGTGGTGCGGACTACATGGACAACCTCATGAAGACCGTGACCGGAGGTGTGTCTTCGACAGCAGCGATGGGCAAAGGCGTCACAGAAGCGCAATTTGCCGAGTCGCCGAAAGCCAAGCTGTGAGGAATTGCGGCTGTGCTGTTTGATGACGAGTATTGTATATCACATTATGTCCTTTCGCATGGGTTTGAATATATGCGTGTAATATAGACAGCGTCGGGCCGAATGTTGATCGAGATTTAGTCACCATCGCATGGTAATTGAGAATAGTACTCACTAACTCATCTTTGATGTGCAAATGGTGTTATAGTACATAGCCATCCAAATCGTTATCTTATACTTTCAGTTTCGTTGGTCGCTCAACATACTTATTCCTCTGAGTAAATATTGTGCCAGCTTCGTGGATTGAGTACAGTTTTTCAATCGGGAAGTTCATCTGTAGGATGGCCAAAATTTTCTCTTGCACGTAGCACACAACATAGGGATAAATTACTCATACTTTGTATTAGTAAGTCTCAAGCGAGAATATTGACATACTGTCCATCTAAATCTTAATGTGAATGAATGTAGTGCAATGCGATGCGACGCGGTACCTTCCTACTTACTATCTCTACACCTTCGCCCACAGCCGTCTACTGAACCTCAGCCGGACGGGCACTAGCAGCATCGCGGCACACACAGGTATGACAGCAGAATACACAATCAAAAACCTGTATGCCTCGCCCGTTTCCTGACCGATTCCGTACATACGGGCCGTGCTGGATATAATTCGTGATCCTATAGGAACCGCGAAGATGGGTGGGATGACGTTCGTGAGGAACTGGATCGCCACCGCCGAACCGAGCTTTTCCATCCCTATATGCACATCAGACGAGAATTTCCAGGCAAAAATCAACGCTACGCACCGACAATTTTGGCGGTGGTAGGCACGGAAAGAGGCCAATATGCTACAGGGATGAACGGCTCAGCGGACCATCGTCGCGGTGGGATCGGAGTGCTTACGACCGCTGAAAAATCCCCAGAACACTGCAAATACCATCATGGGGCCTAAGCTCTTCGCAAAGAGCCAGATGAAGATGCACATCAGGCCGGTCAGGACGTGCATGGTGATGAGCACGTTCAACAAGCCTGCTCTGTCGGCCATGAAACCAGCGACGATTCGTCCGCCCGCATTGAGTGCCGTGGTCACTGAGAGCACGCCGGATGCCTGCGTCGCCGTCAGGCCAATCGCCAGTGAATAGCCTACACAAAACGTAACGTCAATACTCAGTCGCAACTGCATGACAAGAGTCTTACTCGGGATGAAGAACAGCGGCGTCACAAAGCCGAAGAACTGCAAGAAGCAGAAGCAGAGATACATGGGGTAGCCCGGGACTTTCAACACGGCCGAATCAAAGACGCGATACTGGACATGTTTCTTCGCGGCTCCGCGCTGTCGTACAAGCGACACTCCGATGAGTCCGATCGTCAAAGCCAGGAATCCCAGGAAGCGAAGGGCCCATTGAAGAGATGCGCGGTCGATGAGCACCTGACATATGGGTGACAGGACGACTGCGCCAATACCGGTTCCCGACTGCATTCGTTCTTAGAGCTATAGCTGCCGGCTAAAAATGTTGCACTCACAGACGCGATTCCAGATGCCAGGCTACGTCTCCTTTTGAACCACTGAGAGGGAAGCGCGATGGCGGGGATCCACGACATCGAAATTCCGAGCCTGATGGGCAAAGTGATTAACTGTCTGTCGCGCATACATTCATCTCCAGACTCACCCAAACATGATTCCTTGCGACAGGAGCAGCTCCCAGAATCGCCGCGAAATCGATGCAAGCTCAAAGGCCACAGTGATGAGAAGAATGCCGACAATGATGGGCGCGCGGACGCCAAAGTGCGAGGTGAGGATATTGGAGAAGGGACCGAGGGCAAAGGCGAAGCCCATCGCACATCCACCCACGAAACCAAGATTGATTACGCTGTCATTGTGGAAGGTCGAAGACGGCGATGAGTACCCGTTCTGCAGGACACCCCATATCGTGGCAATGCCGAATCCGACAGTGCTCACGAGCCACGTCCCTGCGACCGTCATCCAGGCATGTAGACCGCCATCTGGCGGCTCGTCGAGGTCATTCAGCGCGTCAGACACGTGCAGGGCCTCCATACTGTTGACCTCGACATCGGAGGATTTAGGGTCAAGTGCGGACTGGGTATCTGCCCCTGGGGAGGACGCAGAGGCGTACGTGGGTCGAGAGGAGAGCGACATCGGATTTGTACTCGGGTCTGCAGATGGGAAGCTCGAAACGTCCCTTGAGACTTATCGCGCCTTAAGACCGTGTGCTCGTAGATCCTCGCGTTGCATAACCCAGGAGGAGGTCCCGGTCAGGTGCTGGCAGGAAGAAGCAGTGGTCGGTCCTGTAGCTATAGGCGTCGGGATGGAATTCGGAATTGTGCAAAATATTCGTACCTGCTGTACTCAGGCTGTACCTATCAGTTGTCCGAGTGTTCGGACCGGATTTTTTCTAACCTCGCTTATACGTATACGGAAACGGAATGTGTGATGTACTGCAGTAGAATGCCTTGGTCATCAATGTTTAAAAAAAATGGACCTGCACATGCGGCATACTTACAGTAATCGGGCAACGGTAGGCAGCGGTCCAAGAATAGATGGGCATACCTGGAGAGACCTACCCGCAATGTTTTGATGGACGGGGTGGATATCCTCCCGGCGCAACTTTCGTTCTTGCTACAAGAACGGTGCCAAACGAGGCCGAAAACGTCGGAGTGCCCTATGAACAACCTATCAAGGTACACCATGGAGGTGGATAGTCTCCTAAAAGGCTAGAGCGATGTATATTATCCTTATCCACGGCGTAGCTTTGGTGTAGTTCCGAGTCTCGGACTGTTGCAGTACTTCGTGTTTCGCACTACGCACGGCGCTTAGATTGAGGTCATGTCGGCGTCTATGGTAAGTACAGCCTTTGTCTGAGTCATTGACACTGGGATTGAAATTTCGATAATTCAATATTCAGTGGGGGTAAGCAGAACAGTTACCGGCAGTCCACAATTTTGCTGAAAACAAACACCAATGTTCGCATGAGTTAGTGCGACAGGCGTTGCGGTTATTTATTATGGTGCTTGAAAGCACGACAAATTGTCGCCGTAAATACTATAGTATATCTCAACAGTATATGAAGTGAGTCGGTGAAGGGCGAGCGAATTCCAGATGACATCGTTCCTGACGTTCTCTATTAAGACACAACGGAATAGCACCAGCTAATTACACAACAGTTGCGTCAAGGTCAACAACGCGGGTATGAGCAACTAAAACGTCTATAATACAGCTCAGATACGAAATATAGAAAAGCATGCGATGCAAGAGCCTCGAAAATGGAGAGCATATTGTGACAATGCACAAGTGCGAGGTAGTATCAGTCGGTCACAACACGGCCCTGTGAACAGGGGTCGATTGTCTCTGGCGCAGCTAGCCGCGCTTGGGGAAATACTCAGCATACCCCTTGCGTGCCCCCTCCGCGTCCTGGAAGAGCGTTTCCAAAAGCCTCCGGTCTTCGTCGGAGAGATCATCCAAGTCGCTCTTGCTCAACGTAAACGCTGACTTGCCCGTGGTCATCCGTTCGGCGATACCGCGTCTGAACCTATGCCACACTTTCGTGTCATTCGGGACGAGGTCCTGGAGGACCCTTTCCGGGTCCTCGGGAGAGAGTATTAGACAGACAAGAACGGCCAGCGCCGTCCTCGTGGTCACATTAAACTTCCTTCTTTCAGGATTATCTAAGATATGCTTAATCAAGATTTCCCTTTGGATTTTCTCCTTGTCGAGCGACGATAGCCAGGAATTGTACCCCCAGGAGACGGCCAGCGACGTGACGAACATGAGCTGGCCGAATAACGAGCCCTGTGGCACGAGGAGGAGCTGTGCGATGAATTGCAAGGTCAAGAGCGCCGCCGCGATGCGGATATTCTTGAACTCGCGCTCGTTTCTGAACTGCAAGGAGAACCGCCCTCTCGTAATGGCATTGACGGCGCCTTCCTGGCCGAGGAGCACCGCAACCCCAGAGTCGCCCTCCAGGATTCCGTCCCCGAGCGGACAACTCGGCGCCGGCTCCGGGTGCGTGAAGGTAAGTCGACCCGACCCGAGTGCCCAAGCTGCGATACCACCAGTGGTCATACCCAGGAAGATTGTGCCACAAGAATACCAATCTCCATATAATCCACTGAGTGCGCAAGTGGCTATGCTCGTCACGATCGGTATACTTGCAAGCAGGGAGGAACATGTTTTAGGCAGTCTTGGGTTCATCTCGTACTTCGGCACTCGTGCCAGATCCAGAACGGCGACGAACAGTTCCGCCCCCTTTCTCTCTCTCCCTGGGACGCTCTCGCCTCTCATCTCCTTGCATTCGTTCATCACCAGTGCTCCGAGATGGCCCGAGTGGGGCAGCACTGTCCCCGAAGTGAACGACTTGAACTTGGGCCCTTTCAGGGCTTCGACCCCGACCAGCGTTGTGGGGTCTGCAGCCGGGCCGGGGTAGAGCCCGTTCGAGAACCGAGAGGCAGCAAGCTGCGAGAGGCGTTGCGAGACCCCGTATGCACCAGGTGAGTTGTGCCATCCTAGATATTTTCTTCCTTCGTACACATGGACTGTCGCCATCGCAGATACAGTCTCGGCTCCACCAAAGAGTCCTGCTACACTAAATGCATCGAGGGACAAACGGGAGTCTTTGAGAGAAACAGGGGAGATATTGAAGGACGTTAGAAAAAGACTGAGAATATGCATGTGAGGCGTCAGTGAATGTGTTGCAAAGGCGGCATGCAATGGACAAAACGCACGAAATCATTTCCCGGTGGTGATCGTAAGCGCTGGTGTGACGATATGTATCGCGCCCTTGGAGCTTGGAACGCTGGCCTGAGGATGAGCCACCACCCGGTTGTCACTTCACCGAACGACTAATTGTCAAAAGGACTACTGGAAGCTGAGATATGAGACTAACCAGGCAAGGTGTAAGGAAGAAGGTTGGGCGTGCGTGGTGCTGTGAATCGAAGACACGACGAGTGTAGTGCCATATGTAGCCACCGCGTGCCGGCCTGCACGCTGGAGTCTGGGGCCGAGTTAGTACCCTGGATCGTGTCTACATCGCTCAAACTCTATTGTAGGCTCCTCACCCCCTTGAGCCCCTCGGGTTGTGTGATGCATGAAACGTTCAGGCAATACCGCATCGAGTAAGTAGAACGGTTGAGTCGGGTCTTGCTGCTGCGCAACTACAGCTTGTTCGTGCCACCCATGTACACGTCTTTCTTGGCACTCACTTGACGTTCCTCGCAGATTCATCGTGTATCCTCGCAGCGGCTCCTTCAAGTTTACCGTTTCACTCAGTGCTGTCGCTTCTAGCAGGAGTAATTTGAGGTGGTTTATTGTCATTTTCATTCAAAAGAAAAAAGAAAAATTATGAATCCTATTTCTGTTCTGTCTTCATCTCTTCGGATACTGGCGGTCTCGGATGTGACGCGATCATTTACTTACATGCAGCCTACGCACGCGCGTCGGCGCTACTTAGCCATCATCTCGATGCTGATCCGCTCCGCCCGTTTGAACACGAAGCTACCCCCACATGTGGAATCGCTGTAGCGTTCAAGTTTGCTGATGTCATGATAACTCATGAGTAAGTGCCAGTCTCACCCAGCCATGGCAGACTATGTTGCTGATAATACTTTTATCGCATCGTCCGATTACCACAATGTGCAGAAAGATGTGGAATCCTTTTTTTGAATTTTTGCACTCCACACCAGGACCCCAGGGCTGCTTTCGTTTCTAGGATGCATTAGATAAGGGATGTTGAGGTGCCTGCATTTATGTGCAGTGCTCTCATCTTGACACCATGGTGCTTTTGGTGAGGGAGAGACTGGGCAGGTTTTTTATATAGCAATAGGCAACTCTTGTACTCCTCCTGAATGATGCAACTCCAATCCAGTGCAGGGTTTTGTTGAGGATGAAGTAAAAGACAGCTTGAGTTAAAAGGGTCAGTTCAATATGCAGACTCAGACATGGACTGAGGCAGAGAGAGTAGCATGCACAGATACAGCAAGCACCAGCATTTTCTGGTGACCCTTACAGATAGTATTGAGATCAGCTTCACTGAGAAGGCATCAGTATCTCTGATACTTGACCAAAACAAAACCCTAACCCCCACACTCACTTGTGATGCTGGTAGTTGATAAGAAAAGGCTTTGGTGGGCTTAGTCTTATAGAGTGGGTAGCTCAGAGGATGTGTTGTTGTCACAGAATTTCATGGCATCTATCTTATCTTAGCATCTAGATGATCTATATCTTATTTGATTAGATATCTCACTAGATAAGGATAGCATAATGCATGGTGACATGTTACTAGTCAGGTGGTTAGCCCATCAATTGGGCAAGGCTATGGAATATCCCCATCACATGGGAATATCTCCATCATACCTAGAACCACACACAGCTATTCAGGTGATCATCATTGTTAAGCTACTGACTCAACACAAGGTAGAGTGTTTACACATCAGGTATTCTTAGATAGCCAATGGTATATGTAGAGCATCAGTCAGCCTAGGTGTTAGGTGTACTACCAGTAGTATTAGGGGTCTGGTCCCTCATGTATAAAATACCAGAGCAATCCAGCGTAGAGAGGGTAGATGTCAAGGTATTGCCCTTGGCCCTAACCCAAACTCTAACCCTAACACTCACTTGTGATGTTAGTGGTTGTAAGAGTTAAGTGATATGCTTGTCTTAAGAGCTGGTTGGCTTAGAGAGTGAGTTGAGAGGTAAGTAGATGAGGTAGACTTAGAGAATATCAAGTCTGGCCTCTCTATGCTGTATTGCTCTGGTATTTATACATGAGGAACCAGACCCCTAATACTACTGGTATGTCAAGGTATTGTCACAGTTTTCCAAATAATATTCCAGAATAGATGCACACCTATCTTATCTTATCAGATAGCAATTAGATATAGATTAGATGCATGCCGGAGTATCTACAGAATAGTAGAGAACCAGCTAGAAGGTACAGGATGTGGTTGTCAATCAGGTGACAGCTCGCTAAGCAGTTTTGCTCAGCATCACTTAGTGATCAAGACCCACATGTCACCTGATATTTTAGTCAGACTCT